CTCACCCCCCTCTCTCTCTTATCTCTTTCCCTTTCTCTCCTTCCCATCTCTCACTTACTCTTCCCGCTGCTATATGACATATTTAATGCTATGATTAGACATAATATAATGGAGACAAAATGATAGGAATATGTAATTAGCAACAGAAGGGAGAGGCATACAGAAATGTACATGACAGTTATGTTCTATAGAAACTCTTCAGTAGTTATACTAGTAGTAGCTAGTAGTGAGCTACATGTATAAAAGAACAGGATAAAAATACTGTATGAGAGCAGCTATCATAAGTGGTTTATAAATTTGATCGTTATCTACTTTCCACCAAACACCTGTTCATTACCACAATCACTATACAGTGAAGTGAAGCTGTCATATTTTACATGTAGATATCCATGTACTTGCAAGTACTTATGGTATGACCTTACAAAATACAGAGAGGTGGTGACTGGTCAGGTGTATGATAACAATTCACTCCCTCTAGCTTTCCTGGGAAATATACACTATATTCCATATACACTATAGACTGTAATATTAGAATCAGAGCTACATGTACTATACTATTAGGCATCAAATGTATACCAGCAATAAAGAGGAGGATAAAAATAAAATCTATAAAAATCAATGAGAGGATGAGGTAATGAAATGTGGTACCATGATAGATCTACACAATAGTACATGCTCATCTGACCATGTTCAATAGGTGACCTTTTGAACAATATGATATAGTATTTGGTTGTTTATGAATAATATCAAAAGTAGCTACTCTTGATAATATAATACTATAAATAATTTAATCAACAGTATAACACTAGTCCCACCCAGAGGAAAGGGACAAGGTGAAACTATACTAACACATGCATAGACTATAGACTATAGCTTAATAAGGTACACAAGGTTTGCATATGTGTACATTAATTATACCATCATCTACAACAGTACATAAGTGATAAGAATAAGCCCATCATCCAGTGATATCTAATAAGTATAATCTACTTCCAGTACTGTCTACAGTCTAGTAATACAGTGCAACATGTTATGACATGTGTGATATGTTATTTCTGTTATGGCAATAATAATTAAAGCATTTATGGGAAACAAGAAGTAAGATGAATGCACAACAAAATGATACCTCAAATACTACTGAAGTACAGTAATATATGCTATGATACACGAAGATAACTGCATTAGATAAGAAGAGAGGAAATACTTTAGTCTAAACCACAACCCATTCCTCCAGTGATATCACTATACACAATAAAGTATAGATCTATCTCCTGTACACTGAAGTATAAATTTATATCAAGTGTAGAGTAGAATAGGAGTTTCAGACTGTGGTCCCGACATATTCAAGATGATTGATGTCTCTCAATGGAGAGCAAGTATTGGACTGTGGAACTACTGTCAAGCTGCCTCCAGTAGACCAGCTAATGGCCACCACTCTCACTCATTCAAAGCTGCAGTAGACAGCAAGTCAGGCAGTACTACATCAGGAGAGAAGACATCTAAACTGCCAGCAGCTCTGTCTCTTATTGCTTTACTCCTCCTCCTCCTCTTTCTCTCTCTCTCTTTATTAAGACACATCTTGATGATTCCTCCAACAGGTAAACAACAATTGCAACTTTGTACTTGTATATTTACTGGTATTTTATTATTAGGTAACTGCTACCAAGTACAATGTACTACTGGTGTTACTGTTACTGATACAAATTACCTCCAGTCAGTAGTCTTACCTGGAGGCAGCAGTTCTAACCTGATTTACAATGATCTTTATTTGATTGTTTGTCTACGTATGCTCCTCCTCTTATCAGGAGATGTTGAACTCAATCCTGGTCCTGTAACAGGTAAACACTGATATCTACTACTTGGTGGAGGTGAAATTTATGGCCTTAGAATTAATGACTAGTTCTAGAGTGATTCAAACTTTCAAACTACTTAGTACACACTACAGTGGCATGCCCATCATTGAGCATCACATGCATGCATTTAACCTCTAGCACTATCTGATGCATTGTGATTAATGGCAACAAGTAAAACACAAAATATATGTTACTTTTAAGCCAGCTGCTAGTATGATTAATGCCCATTACTTCAGCTGCATTAAAAAAGGCCAGCGTGAAAAGGCTCTAACTTTAAGCATGGTAGTACATTATTTTTACCTGATATAATAAAATTATTCA